ACTAAAATTGGAACGACAAAGAGAGGTAGAGACAGTGAGAGAGAGGTCTTCCATCTGCTGGTTCACTCCCCAAATGGCCACGATGACTGGATGGGTACAGGGGCTCCAGTACCCAGGCCATCCTCCACTGCTTTCCCAGGCTACAACTGAGAGCTGGATTGGAAGTGGAGCAGCTGGGACTCAAACTGGCGCCCATATGGGATGCCGGTGCTACGGGCCAGGCCTTTAACCCACTGCATCACAGTGCCGGCCCCCACAATTATAATTTTAAAAGCTCCCTGGTTGACTCTAACAAGCAGCTAAGGAGTTGGGAACCACTGGGAAGGTGACAGTGATGTGATTGAGAACATGTGAAGTGTGGAGAAGCTTTGGAATCCCTAGGAAATCCCCCGGGGGAGTTACTGTATCTTTGACTGGAACAAAGCACCAAAGAGAAATGGAACGGCTTTGTGGTGTGCTGCCTGGTTTCATGGTTTTCTCTTATACCCTTTACAGGTTGGATGTAGTCATTGAGAAAGCAGGATGGGGATATGGAATCCTTTGAGTTGGATATTGACCCAGTAGAGTGAAAAACTATGAAAGAGTTGCACAGAGTGTTAATGGCAGCTTTATTGATCTGTGAACAAGGATGAAGGTAGGCAGGAGCTGAAGCAAAGTAGGAAGGGGAGTTTGGATTATTCCAGGAGCTGAGTGATGGCCAGTCTGACTGAGACAGCCAATCACAGCCTCTTGTCTCAGTCAAAGCCACTTCATGGGGTTGCCGTTTCCTTCATTCTACCATAAGAATATTAAAGAACACGCCAACTTTCTGGACAAGGGAGTTTCCATTTTGTTTTGATAGGCATTTTTTAATTATTGACTGATTTTTTTCCCTGCCTGCAAAATATATATGTGTCTTTCGAGAATGAGACATCCAAGTTTAATGTATTCACCTTCAAAACAATGCATTAGTCACAGCTGGTTATATGCATTTGTTGCCTACAAGAAAGGAAAAATGATTAATTGTATGGTGAAGATTGGGTGGTCTTCCAGGGAGCTCTAATGAAGAGTGTCCCATAACAATGATGCTATTTACTGATCTGAAGAAAAATGGTGGAAGAAAAAGCATGGCAAGAGAAATCAACAGTTTTTGTTTTTTAAAATGAATTCCATGGTCATGGCAGATGGGCATTTGGTGATGTAAGCCAGGAGAATAGGGCCAAGGATAGGAGTTTGGAAACTATCAGCATGTAAATGGTAGCAAGGAACAGGAATGACTGACCTCAGAAAAGAACACCTAGATGGAGAACAGAAAGGGCCCCGTATCTGAGCCTTAGCTCAGCCTTTACTGGTCCTTTGGCGGAGGAAGATGCTCAGCAAAGAGACCAAGAAGCAGCTAGGAAGGAAAGAGGAAAGCCAGGGCAATGCAATGCCCACGAAGCCGGGAGAAGAGAGTGTGGTATTGATAATAAATACGGAGATTTGAAAGACTGCAGGAAACAGAAGCATTAGGCAGTCTGTATTTTATTACGTGTTCTGTTGCGAAACACAAGCTCCACCTGACATGACTTCACCGACGACCCCTTCTGCCCCTTTGAAGGATCTCGGGATTCTTGCTGGTCTGTTCTTGGTGGTCCTGACCGGGAAGGCACTCTGCTCCAGCCCAGTGAAACCTGCTCTCATCTGGCAAGATCAGAGCAGTAATGCTCTGCCTTCTCTCTTCACTGAAGTCTCCACGACTCTACTCCTGGCTTCCCTTCCTTCCTCCTGATTGATTTTTCTCAGACTCGCCTTATTCCACAGACTGATAACGTAATAAATGGCCTGTATTTGAGATCAATTGCACATTGATGCATTTTGCTTTCCTCTTCAACTGTCTGGTGTTGTTGTAGCTCTGCCCCACTTCAACTTCTCTTCCTTCTCCTTTTCTTTTGAAACTTGAAGTCTTGAGAGCTTAACTCTATTACATAGTTTTCAGTTCATGGATTCTCTCTGATAGCCCTGTTAAAGTGCTGTGCTTAATTTTAAAAATTGGTTAAAAATTTAAGGGAATTTGGTTGGTTTACAAAATCACAAAGAGTGCATTATTACTGTAATTATTTAAGCAATTCAGAGATATATAGAGGAAATACTCAGTTACATAAGTTAGGGCATCTCACAGAGGACTTAGGTAAAGAATTTTCTGAAGGGATGGCAAAGGAAAGTCCCAATATAGTTGTTATGCATCAGGCACAGTATGGACGAGGAGGTTAGATGCTCCAGTAGGGATTTCTGTAGAAGGATATAAATCTGATAAATTGTTTCACAGACTTAACCAGGTGAAAAATTATATTGAGGATCATTTTTGTAGAGCTAATAGAACACGGGCTGATAGTCAGTGTTCACTGAAAACAAAGTAAAAGGAAAAATGAGGCAATTATCAACTGTAAGAAAATCCAAAAGTTATGCAAGAAAGGAAATGTAACAGTAATCATGACTTGGCTCATTGAACAACATTTTACATGGTAATAGTGATACAGTTGTTTAATATGTGTGTAACCAAAATTGAGATGTATTTGCATTAGGAAGATGGGGTGAGGAGAGAATGAGACTAAGCAAACGTAACAGGAATTCAATAGAGTGTGTGTGTGTATGTGTATGTGTGTGTAGAAGCAGGAGTGTGACACTGAGCATATAAAAAAGAGACTGTAGTTAGTTGCTATATACATTTTAAAAGACTATTTTGACTTAATTATTTGCAGATAATAATGACAAAAATAATCAAAAGCAAAAATAATGTAATAGAACCACATATTCTGACTTTGGGAAGTTGTTTAAGAGATATTTTTTGGAAAGATTTTATTTATTTATTTGAAAGGTAGAGTTACAGAGAGAGGGAGAGACAGAGAGAAAAGTCTCCCACCCACTGCTTCACTCCCCAGATGGCTGCTACAGCGGGAGCTGAGCCAATTGGAAGCCAGGAGCCAGGACCTTCTTCCTGGTCTCCCATGTGGGTGCAGGGGCCCAAGGACTTGGGCCATCTTCTACTGCTTCTCCAGGCCATAACAGAGAGCTGTATTGGAAGTGGAGCAGCTGGAACATGAACCGGTGCCCACAGGGGATGCTGGCATTGCAGGTGGTGGCTTTATCAGCTACAACACAGCGCTGGCCCCAAAAGTTATTATTTTTTTTCCCATTTTATTTTATTTCATTTATTTATTTATTTTTTTGACAGGCAGAGTGGACAGTGAGAGAAAGAGAGACAGAGAGAAAGGTCTTCCTTTGCCATTGATTCACCCTCCAATGGCCGCCGTGGCTGGTGTGCTGAGGCCGGTGCACCGCGCTGATCCGATGGCAGGAGCCAGGTACTTATCCTGGTCTCCCCTGGGGTGCAGGGCCCAAGTACTTGGGCCATCCTCCACTGCACTCCCTGGCCACAGCAGACAGCTGGCCTGGAAGAGGGGCAACTGGGATAGAATCCAGCGCCCCGACCGGGACTAGAACTCGGTGTGCCAGCGCCTCAAGGCGGAGGATTAGCCTAGTGAGCTGCGGCGCCGGCCCAAAAGTTATTTTTTTAATATGGAAACATTTATGGTAGTTATCTTTGGAATTTTAGGGGATTTTTGCAGATTTTGGAATTGTTTACTTTGAACATGTATTTATTATTTGTGTAATTAGGGACGGACACACTAAAAAAGAAACATTAAAGAATACCTCAGCTCCCCCAAAAGTCAGAGACTTCTTCTCAGGGGAAGAGGATCATTATTTTTCTTGTGGAGTAAAAGAATGGAATCAGAAGAGATGAGCAGTGCAAGGGCCAGAAGTGATGTGGAGGTGGAACAAGCAGTGTCCGTTCTCCTGATGGTGCTGGCAGTTACGGAGAAGGTCCCGCAAGTCCAGGAGAGTGTGATTTAACACTAGTCACACTGTGAGTAATGACAGCAATGACCATGGCGGGCATGGCAGGAGCTCTTCTAGGCGCTGGGCACTATGCTAGGGCTTCAGGGGCACAGTCACCTCTCAGCATCAGTAGAAGATTTGTTCCAGGACCCCTGCCAATCCCTTATATAGAATGGTGCATTATTTGCATATAGTCTACGTAGGTAACTCTCATATTCATTAAATAATTTCCAGGTTACTTGTAATAACTAATACAATGTAAATGCTATGCAAATAATTATTATACTGAATTACTTAGGGAACAATGACAAGACAAAAGATCGGTGCTTGCTCAGTACAGATAAGATTTTTAAGATTTATTTTGTTTATATGAAAGGTGGAGTTACAGAGAGAGAGAGAAATAGAGAGATCTTCCATCCGCTGGTTCACTCCCCCAATGGCCACAATGGCCCAGGGTCGGGCCAGGCTGAAGCCAGGAGCCTGGAGTTTCTTCCAGGTCTCTGGTGTGGGTGTGGGGCACAAGGTCTTGGGCCATCTTCCGCTGCTTTCCCAGGTGCATCAGCAGGGAGTTGGATTGAGAGTGGAGCAGCCAGGACTGGAACCAGGGCCCATATGGGATGCTGGCATTTCAGTGGGCAATTTTAACCCATTATGCCATAATGCCAGACCCCAGACAAGTTTTATTTTTTTAAAGATTTATTTATTTATTTACTTGAAAGTCAGAGTTACAGAGAGGCAGAGGCAGAGGCAGAGAGAGAGAGAGAGAGAGAGAGAGAGAGAGATCTTTTATCCGCTGGTTTATGCCCTAAATGGCCATAATGGCTAAAGCTGGGTCAATGTGAAGCCAAGAGCCAGGAGCTTCCTCTGGGTCTCCCATGCAGGTTCAGGGACCCAAGCACCTGGGCCATCTTCTACTGCTTTCTCAGGCCACAGCAGAGAGCTGGATCTGAAGTGGAGCAGCCAGGTCTCAAACTGGTGGCCATACGCACTACGCTATAGCGCTGGCCCCGATAAGATTTTTTTAGAAGTGTTTTCAATCCATGGTTACAGAATCCATTGGTGTAGAGTCCATGGATATTGCAGAATCTACTGACTGGCTGTATTGTTCTTACTTAATTCTCACAAACCACACTACATATTCATTTACTTATTAAAAATATTTATTTACCACTTGCAATGTGCTAGATACTAGGATTACCAAAATAAAACACTCACTGTGCACCTGAACAGCTTATGGTACATTCAGAGAAACAGACATAAACAAATAAAAATAAATACCTAGTGACATGTGTCAAGTGACATGGAAGGTGTAACAGAGTAACAGATGGGGTGGTGTGGGCAGGCCTTTCTTAGAAGGTCACCATTGTAGCTGGAACCTTGAAGGCTTCATTAGAGCTGAAACCTAAAGAATGAGGAGGAGAGGAAAGGCCTTGAGGCAGACATGAATCACTCTAACACTGAGAACATTTTCTTTTAACAGAGGAGCTGGAAGAAGACGAGAGAGTGGGGAGAGTGACGGCAGCTGAGGCTGGAGACAGTCTAGACCATGCAGGGCCATGGACATTGGACTCTCTTGGGAAACCTGCTGGGGCTCCAGCAGGCAAGTGAAGGGTCTAATTTATATTCAAAACCCTTACTCTGGCTGCCTTGTGCAGAATGCATTGGCGAGGGACAAGAGAAAAATGTGAGAAGAGCTCTTTGGATGCGATCATGGTATTCCAGATTGGAGGTGGTAGGTGAGGCGTGGAGGGAAGCGGACAGGTCCAAACTGCATTCCGGAGGGAGAATCCGAGGACCCTGGGCAAGGAGAGGTGAGAGTCAGGGATGACTTAGGTTCCTGAGTCGGGCCGTGGAGCTGATGCATTGCCATCCTCCTCCTGTTCAGTCTGGAGCTCATGCGGCCCAAGTGTCAGTCCAGTAAAGGGATGCTTCAGGATATGAGTGTGGGTCTGCTTAGCTCCACAGACTGCCAACACACAGTGCGCTCTGCCAAGGAGTCACGTCCTCATGCTTTATAAAAGGAGCACTTGCTGTCTTCTGAATTACAATATCTCTGTCAAACGCAACTCCGTTCGTTCAGTTACCAAAAAGGAAGTCAAGCCACAAGTGTGTTGACTGAATCGTGTTTTGTCCCAGAGTGGACTGAAAAATACTATTTGGATCCCATGCTGGAAATGATGTTTTACCCAGGTAAGCAGGTTCAAGACTGAAGGATGGGAAGCAGTCATCTTAGATATTTAGATTCTGTCGCCAGGCAGAAAACCAAGCTTCCTGTCTTTGTTCTGTGGCATGGGATCGGGAGATGTGTCATTCCTGAATATCTGAGGTCCTTTAGGAACTTAGATGACATTGTCAAGGGCAGTTGTTCTGGAAGAAATGTGTTTACTCTGTGGGAAAAAGAGGAAAATGAGGTAGTTTAATAGTAACCAGAACCTTAGCCCACCCCCTTGGCTACAGAGAGAAGATGGGGGAGCCCTGACAAACAGACAGTAGGGAAACTGGTATCATAAGGCTGCATTAAACTAAAACCAAATAAGTTGAAAACTTATTTATGCATGGCGATCTCATGCAAGATAACTTCTTGGGTACCTTTGGGCAATGGCCTGAGACTTTCTGTATACTGCTGGTATTTGTGCCTGTATGAAAAGGTTCTTTCTCTCTTGATTTGTTTGCAAAGTCTTAGGCTAGAGTTTAAGAACACGGGGCAATCACAGCTTACCTCTTTGGAATGATTGACTGTGGAGTAAATTGTGACGGATTCATTGTTTTTCACAGGTGCTAGGTTTTCTTTTTCCTGTAAAAAGGATCATACCCATTTGGCTCAAACCGAGACAAAGAGATACATACACAGTTGTATTCTTGGGAAATGCGGTGTGACAAAAGAGAGACTATCAAATTCTTTGAGAGGAAGGCCACACAGTGGTTAACTAAAGGAGTTAGAGAGCAAGTGCCACAGCTCAGACCTGTGACAGATTAGCGGCGTTTCCTGAGTCCAAAATAGAAGAGCAACACCCCAGCAAACCAGTGGCTCTAGAGCTAGAGAGACACAGGAAGGCGGCCTCATTGTGTGAAGGAAGGGAAGCATTCTTGTCCTGCATCTAGCACTGTCTCCTTGCTCCACCTTTGAGCACTAACTAGGTCATCACTGTGTGGTAGATGTGGTCTCAGATTTTCACTTGCTACATTGGAGCTGCTCATTTTTTTGTTTTTTAGATTTTTATTAATCTATTGAGAGACAGAGTTACAGATAGACAGAGGGAGAGACAGAGTGAAAGGTTGGCTCACTCCCCAAATGGCCACATTGACTGGAGCTGAGCTGATCCAAAGGCAGGAGCCAGGTGCTTCTTCCTGGTCTCTCATGTGGGTGCAGGGGCCCAAGTACTTGGGCCATCTTCCACTGTTTTCCCAGGCTACAGCAGGGAGCTGGATCAGAAGTGGAGCAGCTGGGACTAGAACCAGTGCCCATATGGGATGCCGGCACAGCAGGCAGAGGATTAACCTACTGTGCCATGGCTCCGGCCCAAATCTCATAAATTTTAACAGTTTATATTAATTAAGGAACATTGAGAGAATTGTTAAGACCTCAGAAACTCTCCAAAGTATACTTTTTAAACTAAAGAAGCAGCTAACAAATGTGTTGGAGTTCAGTTTCTTGGATTGTTAGAGAGTGATTTGGCTTGTTGTCAAGAGAAATGTGGAAAGATCAGTAAACAGGTGAGAGTATCCCTTCTTGTCCTCTCTTTGCAAGGAGCCCGCTTTGCAAATACCTGTGCAGGACTGTGCGAGTGAAGATTTGCTTGGGAAATCCCCAGATTTCTATCTGGATTATTGCTTCCATCATTTGGAGATGTTTCCTTGGTTTATTTTTCAGAAATCACAAGAACTGGCCCCCCAAGATGTGCAGTGTTATTTAGAAATATGCCACCTGCAGGTGCTTTATTTAGGGGAGGTGGTGGTTGATGCATAACAGAGGAGTTCCTGATGCCTGACCAAGCCCATCTTGTTGTGTTGCTAGAGGAGAGGGGAGAATTGAGGGCTGCTCATGGCTTTTGTGTCCCCTATTGTGGAAGGTTGTACATTCTTGCCCTTCTTTCCCTCTTGGCAGAGTTCTTCTGACCTTACCTAATATCCCTACATCCAGAGGAAGAAGCCCTCTACTACAGAACTGCCTCCCTTGGAAACTCTCAATGGAACTCTGATCGGCTCAGCAAGCACTGGCTGAGTATCCTACAGGGGAAGAGAGACAAAGACTTCATTTGTAGTTTCAGGCAGCTTGCCACTGCGCTGAGGAGACAAGACTTAACGATGCATTAAGCAGTTGGAGCGCAGAGTTGCAGCAGGGTAGGAATAAACATTCCCTCAAGGGCAAGAGCGGCTGATCCTAGACTGGTCTAGTACAAGACTTTGCAGCCTCTTTGCTGCCTTCTTTTCCCCTCATTGGTGAATGTCATTTGGAATAGTCAGGTGATTATGGTGATGAGTGTGTGAGGGATGACCGTACAAACAGTGACAGTTATGGAATATAAAGCTGAAAAGACTCACCCGGCTTGGATGAGTGACCTGTGCATACACAGTGCTCCCTGGAGATCCCGAAGTGTACTCTAAGTTCCACATGGACTCTACTGTAAGTACAAGAAGGCACAGTCAGTGGCAGAAGGCATCTCGATGGCTCTCCCTAGGACTTTGCCTTCCCCAGAGCACTTCCTGTGCACAGAGACAATGTTCAAGATATTGTCCTTCCTTAGAGAGTTCATTTGCTCAATAATCTGGAGAAAACTCTTGTTCATGAGGTCTATTTCTGACTTCATCTGTTGGGGGCGGAGATGGTCTTGGGGCATCTCCCTGAGTGGCCAGAGAGCTCCTGGGCCTACAGATGAGATGGAGATACTACATTGGTAAACATAATGCAGCCAATTATTCCACATATGTGATATTGTCAAAGTTCTCAAAGGGCCTTAAGGTGGAGTTGGTTATTTTAGAGATGAGGAATGGCAGGCTCAGAAAACTCAAATGATTTCTGCACGGTCACACAGGAGGTAGCAGAACAGGAACTCAAATGCATGTCTTCTGACTACCTGACTCCAAATCTATTTCTTTGGTGTGAGATGTCAGGTATCTCTCAGCCATGAAAGGTGACTCAAAGCCAATCCATGCCAGGAGTGTGCATTCCCATCAATACCATGTTTCTCTCTCTCTCTCTTTGATTTATTAACTTGAAAGTCAGAGTTACACAGAGAGAGAAGGAGAGGCAGAGAGAGAGAAAGAGAGAGAGATCTTCCATCCACTGGTTTACTCCCCATTTGGCTGCAATGGCCAATCCGAAGCCAGGAGCCAGGAGCTTCTTCCGGGTCTCCCACATGGGTGCAGGGCCCAAGGACTTGGGCCATCTTCTATTGCTTTCCCAGGCCATAGCAGAGAGCTGAATCGGAAGTGGGGCAGCTGGGACTTGAACTGGCGCCCATATGGGATGCCGGCACTGTAGGCGGCAGCTTCACCCACTATGCCACTGTGCCAGCCCCACTTTTTATCTTTTGATTGTGTCTATCCGCTGCCCAAGCCTTGGCTGAACAGCAGTGATACACTCAGGCAGTTTGGTTTTAGGCATTTGATTCTTGAATCCTGACCCTGCCCTGCCCTTGCTGGTGTCAATGGGCAGCCTATAAGTTTTTTCTATGGCACTGGAGTGTCTCCATATGCAGGGTGGGAAGCTGCCCTGAGCTTGCTAGGACAAACTGTGTGAGGGATGGGACCTCATGCTTATGAGGGACTCTAGAAGTCCCATGATTACAAGCCATTTCCCCTTGCAACTTGTAGTCTGAGCAGGGACATTCTGATTTGCTGTGTTCTCATTGTCTAGCCCTTTTGGTCACCCCCATTTCTCTTCCATTCAGCTCTTCCCAGTTAAGAATCTGGGTACTCACCAGGACTCTGGGTTTGCTGAGTAGACAAATGAAGGGAACCTGAAAAATAAAATCAGGATATGAAATGTGTGACTGTGGTGGGAGAGGTTCCCCACTGCCTCCTCGTGGGTGTTTCTCTAGGGAGTGTGTTGGGAGGGGTCACAAAAGAAGGGCAGGCTGGCCCTGTCCTTTTCGGGCTAGAGCAGGTGTCAGGTCATCCCAGCGGACCAGCTCAGCCAGGGTGTGCATCTTTCCCTCTTCACCTGTCCTCCACAAGGGGTCCTAGGCAACTGGAGACCCGAGATTCTATTCCCTGGAACCTTGGAGAAGAGACAAATAAGAGGAAAGAAAACCTGCCTCTTCTTTTACACCAGAAAATTATCCCCACAATGATGACTATAGATATCAAAGGAGCCATAATTATTATCCATGTGAAATCCCAGCGTTCATTTTCCTTATTGAAAATACCTGAAAAGAAAAAAAAGAAGTAAAACATGAGACACAAGCGGGGAGGCAATTAGCCCCTGCAGAGGCACCAATGAGCCCCTTCTCGACTGCTTTGGAGGCTGGGGGACTTCATCCATGCCCGAGGCTCTGGCCTCTGGGCAGTGTGGAGTGAGCAAAGTGCGAGCCCAGAAGAGTCAGGGTAAAAGGCAGTCAAGACTTTTCAAGACCTTGCCCTTGGGCTGTGAGTAAACTGGAGACTGGGGAGGGTGGGGAAGGAAGGAGCAGAGATCTCTGGCGGCTGGCTTATGTGGTGAGAAGCACAGACTCCAGAGCATGTTTGTTCCCTCCCAGCACTGCTTGGCTGCCTCCCACTGGGCCACTGTTGGCAATCATGCAAGGTGTGAGGACATGGTGTACCCTATGGCCCCTCTAGGCTCTCAGAGAGACCTCAGGTAGACTGTTACCTTCACAGAGGCCCCTGGCAGACACAGTGAGAGATAAGTTGTTGGCAGGGGTCTCAGCTATGCAGGTGTAATTGTGTTCACTGTCGTTCCTGGGGTCCCAGGAGATAGTGAGGTTTGGTTCACTTAGAGATGTGTTTCCCGGGGTCTGCCACCTAAGCCAGGCATTGTCATTTGGATTCTCCACAGAGCAGGTCAGGTGAATCTCGCAGGTCCTATTCTCAGACAGCTGAACGTGACTGGTAATTTGCAAGTTCCTCAGTCGCCCTGTGTTTAGAGAAAAAGGGGGATCAGTTAGAATGGTTGTCATACAGAAATTGACAAACAACAAATGCTGGCGAGGATTCCCACTGTTGGTAGGAATGTAAACTGGTACAGCTGCTGTGGAAAACAGTGTGGAGATACCTCAGAAATCTGAATATAGAACTACCATATGATCCAGCCATCTCACTGCTGGAAATTTATCCAAACCAAAAGAAACCCGCATATGAAAGAGTTATCTGTACTCCCATGTTCATTGCAGCTCAATTCACAATAGCTAAGATATGGAATCAACCCAGATGTCCATCAACTGTTGACTGGATAAAGAAATTATGGTTTATATGCACTATGGAGTACTACTCAGCTGTTAAAAAAATGAAATCCTGTCTTTTGCAACAAATTGGACACAACTGGAAACCATTATACTTAGTGAAATAAGCCAGCCCTAAAAAGACAGATACCATATGTTTTCCCTGATATGAGGTAACTAATATAATAGAGCACCTAGAATGTAACATACTGGAGTGAATTGGACATTTTGAGATTTGATGATTTTTTACAGCCCTTGTCTCTTCAGTTGAGGAACAGTGTTTTTTTTCCCTTCATTCTATTTGTTGAACTCTTTACTTAGTATAGGGTTAACTTTACAATCATTAAGTAAATTCAAAGTACATCTTTATAAAAAGTAAGAGTGGAAATGGGAAAAGGAGGATAAAGAAGGGTTGGAGCATGGGCAGGAGGGAGGGTAGGGTAGGAAGTATCATTATGTTCCTAAGTCTGTATATATGAAATACATGAAACTTTATAACTTAAATAAAATTTAAAAAGCTTAACTAACTGAGTAGGAGTTGTGGAACACAAAATAGAAAGTTCATGGAAAATGCGATTGAAAGGTGTTTATTTTAGTGTAAATTTTTTTTTGTATTCAAATGGTTTCTTAAAAAATCCATTTTAAAGAACTTTCTATTCAGGCTAACGACAAACACAATAAAGGCAAACATGATAGTTTAACATAATAGGTTGATTTTATACAGCTCTTATATCTTTTGGTTCAGAAGTGTATTAAATGGTAGAGAACATCTGTTAAAACCATTTCTACAGAACTAGGAAATAAATGTCTAAGAAAGAAAGATTTTACAGACCTCTATCTTTTATACCCACCCCAACAGTCTAACTCTAAAAAGGAAAAAGCCAATGACTTTCCTCACAAGAACTCATGACTAGTGTTGCTTTGCTATCAAAATCTGTATTTCTGATCCGTTATGGGCATTGAGACAAGATTCAAATATTCCCAAAGAAAGAAGCGCAGTGCGCTTTGTAATAGCCCATTCAGAGGACAGAGGCAAGATGGCGGAATAGGAAGGGAGCACACTGATAGTCCGGGGAGAGATAGTTTAATAAAAGTGGAGATACTGCAGGTTCAAGGAAGAGTAGGGGAGGAAACAGCAGAAGAAACTCTTCTGGAACGCGTGATTCACAGCGGACCTGCGTGGAGAGCGTGGGAGCCCACAGTTCGGGACACCAGCGGCAGACTCAACACACCAGCGCTGGAACGCGAGGTGAGCCGAACCTCAATAGCCCAAGACACCGGCAGGCAAGCGGAGAGAGGAGACTAGAGCGAACGACCCCTGGCGGGGAAAAGTTCACCAGGCTAACTGGAAGAGAGAGAGAGAGAAAAAAAAAAAAGGTGACTGGTACGGACACAGGTTTCTCTCTCTCCGCTCACCTCTCAAGGGCGAGCCAGACAAAGAGCAGGCGCCATCTTGGACATACGTCATAAGCAGAGCGACCTCAGGTCTGCACCGGCCCTGAGCCTAGCAGAAAAACCTGACTCTGGGCGGGGCGAATTAACAGGAGATTAGGACCTAGTAAATTTGTGGTGCTACTGAACTGAGACTGTGAAAAAAGAGACGGTGGGGGAGAGAACTCAAGGAATTCACCTGAGTACTCTCCAGAGATGCTACAATTCCGTAACTTTGGCAACCCAGTGGGAGACTGAAGGAGAATTTGAGCCCACTCTGAGGGCAGAACAGATTCCCTGTGTGGTCCTTGGGAAAGAGCTTCCGATCTCTGACTCCTGTGGGTATATCATTTGCCTGCTAACTACCTCCAACTTCGTTCAGCTGTGCGGAATTACTTCCCTTTTGAATCAAAAAAAGAAAGAGAGAGAGAGAGATTTACCACGCCTAACCTGGGAGTGTCACCTTTGGCACACCAAACAGAGCTCTCAGGCCACACCCATCTCAAGCCCTAAGGCTCCATCAAAAACAGATAGTCCACTTAATCTAGAGTCATAGTATAACAAGAAAAAGCACCACAGTGAAGAAACCAAATATCTCCAATATGCCAAATAACAAACGCAAAAACCGAGGTAATAAAAACAAGGAAGTCACCATGACGCCCTCAAATGAAAAAGACACCCCAATTCAAGATTATGAAGATGATGACATAGAAGAATTGCAAGAAGCAGATCTCAAAAAATTGATAAGAACATTAAGAAGTTCTCAAAAACAAATTCTTGAACTACATAAAGCCTTAATGGACAAGATAGAAAATCTCTCTCGTGAAAATGAAATATTAAGGAGGAATCAAAATGAAACGAAACAATTAGTACAACAGGAAACTGTGATAGTGACTGAAGTGAAGAATTCAATAGATCAAATGAAAAACACAATAGAGAGCCTTACAAACAGAATGGGTGAAGCAGAAGAGAGAATATCGGACTTAGAAGACAGAGAACAGGAAAGGATACAGTCAGATCAAAGAAAAGAAGAGGAAATTAGAAATCTAAAACATATTGTCGGGAATCTTCAGGATACTATTAAAAAACCCAACATATGGGTTCTAGAAGTTCCTGAAGGCATGGAGAGGGAGAAAGGATTAGAAGGCCTTTTTAGTGAGATATTAGCAGAAAATTTCCCAGGTTTGGAGAAGGACAGAGAAATCCTAGTACAGGAAGCTCACAGAACCCCTAATAAACACGACCAAAAGAGATCCTCACCAGGACACGTTGTAATTAAACTCTCCACAGTGAAACATAAAGAAAAGATCCTAAAATGTGCAAGAGAGAAACGTCAGATTACTCTCAGAGGATCGCCAATCAGACTCACTGCTGACTTCTCATCAGAAACTCTACAAGCTAGGAGGGAATGGCGAGATATAGCCCAGGTACTAAGAGAGAAAAACTGCCAGCCCAGAATATTATATCCTGCAAAGCTATCATTTGTGAATGAAGGTGCAATAAAGACTTTTCATAACAAACAGAAATTGAAAGAATTTGTCGCCACTCGTCCAGCCCTGCAACAGATGCTTAAAGATGTGTTACACACAGAAACACAGAAACACGGTCATCAGTATGAAAGAAGATAAAGGAAGGAAACCTCACAGCAAAAGATCACAGGGAATTCAAAGCATATATTAGAACTTATCTTTGGCAAATGGCAGGGCAAAGTTACCACTTTTCATTAGTCACATTGAACGTTAATGGCCTGAACTGTCCAGTTAAAAGACACCAATTGGGATTTGCTTCTTAACCTGATGCAATTTTAAATGATGCTTAATTTTGTTTTTAAATTTCAAATCCTAGCTCTTACCCATACATGGAACAACAATGAAATTGTACATGTAATTCGCCACTTTGCTACACTAACATTGTTCCAGGGGTACTTATGATGTACTTTTGAATTTTCTATACATGCAATAATGACATTTGCTAGCAGTTTTATGTCTTCCTTCCCAATATGTATGCATTTTGTATCCTTTCTTTGTGTTACTGCACTGTCTAGTAATTCCACCATAATATTGAAAAGTAGTGGTGAGAAAAAGACACTTCCCCCTTTCTCCAACTTAAGGGAAAACTGTCCAATTTCACTATTAAAGCTGGTTTGGGTAGATATTCTTTATCTAGATGAGGAATTTCTCTTCTGTTCCTTGTTTGCTCAGTTTTTTTATGCCAAATATCTTCTACAAAAGTTGATGTAATCATTTAACATTTTTGCAGTTTGTGTAGTATGTCCAATTTATTGATTTTTTTAAATGCTGACAGCCTTGCTTACGTGGGATAAATACCACTTGCTTGTACTACATAAAATTGTTGGATTTTACCTATTAAAAAAAAATAGCCCATTCAGCATTCAAACTCTCATCCCAGGAATTAAATAAGGTCAGCCACATTCATGGGCATTTCCTCTACTGTGGTACTGTAGAAAGTTTCAATGTCATGAAGAATCCTCTTGTCTTCTTCAGTAACACAGTTTATAGCTATACCTTTCCTCCCAAATCCACCCCCTCCACCAATTCTGTGTGATAAAAAGAAAGTAGCAATCAGAATATTTGTCACACACTTGTTAACTATTGAACATGATGATCCACTTGTGAATCGTCAGCTGCTGTTTACTTATCAATATAGTTCGTGCTAATTGGAGCACTACCTGCTAATCAATATCTAGAGAAAAAAATCTTACTTTGCAGTTAGTGCCAAAAGGATTCAATCAAGTCTTTTCTGGCTGCAAAATGAGATTTTATCAGGTGTTTTGAGCATTATAATAAAGCAGAAGACAGTACTGTGGGGTAGTGAAATTAAAGCCCATACTGAAGTGGGCCAGCCAAGAGCAGGTGTCAGCCTGGGACAGATGGAAACATCAGGGATAAAAATAACAGTTATGTAATCCATTTCGATGCACTTCTGGAACTGTAAGCTGCAAATACAAATGCTACAAGTTTACAACTTCTCTCCAGTGGTGACCATAAAAAATTTTTGAAATTCATTCATAATGTTTTCATAATATGCATTTTTCATAAACTTTTTGAAGACCCCTTGTATATTTCTGTTTTTCCAGAATGCAGTTTTTATGTATAGGAAGAATGCTAAATTTGGAGTCAGGAAAATTGGAGTTAGGATCACGGCTTCATTGTTTACTGGCTATAGAGCCATGGACAAATTATTAATGTTTCCTACTCTTGGTTTTCTTATCTGGGGAACGGGGCAATCATATTTCCTTTTCAGGCACTTATGAAAATAGAACAAGACAATGATGGGAAATATTTGGCACGAATGTCACATCGCATCCCACATCTGTGGCTGACCTCAAAAGTCTGTCTTGTTAGGTAAAGCTATCAGGTGATGCTGCTATCTGTGATGCTGTCATCTCATACGGGCACCGGTTTGTGTCCCAGCTGCTCGACTTCTGATCCAGCTCCTTGATTATGCACCTGGGAAAGCAGCAGACAATGGCCCAAGTCCTTGGGCCTCTGTGTGGGAAACCCAGAAGTTCCTGGCTCCTGGCTTCAGCCTGGCCCAGCCCTGGCCATTGAGGCCAGCTGGGGAGTGAACCACAGATTGGAAGACCTCTCTGTCTCTCCCTCTCTCTCTCTGTAGCTCTTTCAAATAAATGAATAAATCTTAAAGAAATCTATCTGGCTACCTTTTTTCACATTATGAATTATACTGCCTACTTGATGTTTACACTTGGATATATCTGAAACTCAACATGTTCAGAAGGAATGCTGGTTTTCTCTCCAAACTCTGCTTAACCTGAACCCTTCTCCATTTTAGTTCATGATAGCTGCATCCTTTCAGTAACTAAGACCAAAAACCTGGAGACATCCCTGACTCATTTATCCTTCTTATGTTCCCATATCAAGAAATCCTTTCAAAACATCAGAATTCAAGGAATCCAACCACTCCGCATCACTTCCACTGCTACTACCCTGGTGCAAACCAGCATCACCTTTGGCTTGGATGACTGTAATGGCTTCCTGATTGGTCCATTGGCATCTCAACAGACTAGCCAAAGCAGTCCTTTTAACAAGTAAGTTAAATTGCATTACTTTTTGTGCAAAGCCATCCAGAGGCTGTCAATCTTGTTGAGTAGAAGCCCAGGTTTCAGTGGGCCTTACATGATGTGGCCTCTATTTCCTTTCTAACCTCACTTCCTGTTACTCTGCCTCTCAGTCTGCTCCTCAGTGTTTGGCCTCCTTGATGTTCCTGAGTGTGCCAGGCACCGGGGAGTCTTGCTGCACATGATGGAGGACTTCTCCAGATAGCTTCGCGCTCATTCCCTCCCCTTCACTGGGTCTTGGCTCAAATGCCATCTGTTTAATTCTGACCACTCTGTTCAAAACTGATTCCTGGGGCTGGCGCTGTGGTGCAGTGGGTTAAAGCCCCATCCTGCAGTGCCGGCATCCCAAATGGGCACCGGTTCGAGAGCCGCTGCTCCATTTCCAATCCAGCTCTCTGCTATGGCCTGGGAAAGCAGTAGAAGATGGCCCAAGTCCTTGGACTCCTGCACCTGCGTGGGAGACCTGGAAGAAGCTCCTGGCTCCAGCTTTGGATCAGCTCAGCTCTGGCTGTTGCAGTCATTTCTGGAGTGAACCAGTGGATGGAAGACCTTTCTCTCTCCCTGGCTCTACCTCTCTCTGTAACTCCCTCTTTCAAGAAAACAAAAATAAATCTTTAAAAAAAGAAACTTATCCCTGCACCCTGGCATTTTGATTCCCACTTACACTGTTCTCGTATCTCCTCAGGACTTGTGGCTTTCTTGCATACCCTATCATTTGTTAATATTTATGTGTATTATGTATTACCTGCCTCCACTTTCCATGTAGAATGTTGACTCCGGGAGAGCAGCGATCTTTGTCTATTTTGTTCACTGATGTACCCAGTGTAGTGCCTTGTACGTTGTCCTTGTCCAACAAAGATTGATGATTTAGTGAATAAACTTAACATGGCTTCAACATCTTTCCTAACACTGAAGGCTAGGCAGTCACTTCCAATCCATTGTTACTAACTCATGAAATGACATTTTGCTGTTCCTATCCTGGCACATACTGAGAGATTGGTCAATGATAACAAATAAACAGACAAACAAATGCTGTATAGTTCAAGCCTTGAGATTCCTTTGCAGCTTTGTCAGTAAGTTAGTATAGCTCACACATCTCTTTGTGTATGTGCCTTCAAAGGAGGGGCACTTAAAAAGGCCTGAAAAGGGATTGGCAATGAGCCCCAGGAGTGTGGTTGCTGTAGGAGAAGTCATACTTGGTCTTCTCAGTAGTGTCAGAAGAACATTGTCTCAGCAAACACAGTGGGTCTGCTATAACATCTGTTCCTGGGCTTTTCTTCTCTCCAGGGTTCCAGCACCGCCTTGATGATCCCTGACCACCCAGGGTGATCCTGCCCTTAGTTCCTTGAATGCTGACCCCACAGAAGATATGTCCACACCTTAACCCACAGAATCAGAATATTCTATTACCATCTTTGGAAAAAGGGATTTTGCTGATTAGTTGAGATCATCCAAGATTATTTAGATGGCCATAAACCCACTGAGAAGGGTTCTTATAAGAGAAAAGCAGAGGGATATCTGAGAGAGACAAAAAGGCAGAAAACAGAGAAGATGAGGAGGCAATGTTACTACAAAGACAAAGACTGGATCGAGGTACCTGCAAGCCAAGGAGAACCAAGGCACACTGGCAACAGCCAGACTCAAGAGGCAAAGAACGCATTGTGCCAGAGGGCATCCAGGTGATGTACAGCCCAGCTCACGCCTTGATTTTGGGCTTCCGGTCTCCAGAACTGTGGGAGAATAAATCTATACAGTTTCAAGCCACCTAGTTTACGGTATTTTGTTTCAGCAAAATTCAGGAAATTAATACACTGCCCCAGGCAACTTTGTCCCTTTTGTTGGAGTAATTGGTGTAGAACCTTTCCAGACATCATCTCTCTCCCATCACATTTACCTGTTCTGTACCCTATTCTTTCAGGCATACGACTTTGACTAACAAAACAGATAAACCAGTCCAATATTCATGAAATTCTTTTTTTTTTTTTTTTGACAGGCAGAGTGGACAGTGAGAGAGAGAGACAGAGAGAAAGGTCTTCCTTTGCCGTTGGTTCACCCTCCAATGGCCGCCGCGGCCGGCGCGCTGCGGCCGGCGCACCGCGCTGATCCGATGGCAGGAGCCAGGTGCTTTTCCTGGTCTCCCATGGGGTGCAGGGCCCAAGCACCTGGGCCATCCTCCACTGCACTCCCTGGCCACAGCAGAGAGCTGGCCTGGAAGAGGGGCAACCGGGACAGAATCCGGCGCCCCGACCGGGACTAGAACCCGGTGTGCCGGCGCCGCAAGGCGGAGGATTAGCCTAGTGAGCCGCGGCGCCGGCCTGAAATTCTAAAGTTAACATAATGTACTTGGGGAGGCATTTTTTTTTTTTTGGATGGCATATCTTGATTCAAAGGACTTTGAATTGTAGACACTATGAGCTCTCTAGTAGATAAGAATCATGGAATCTCATCAGCCTTTAACTATCAGTTTGATTCTGGAATTTTCTGTACTATATCCCTAATTAAGTGTCAGTGATCAGACTAAAGCCATGGTATTACTGAACATCAGATTGCTGGAAATATTTTTCCCTTTTTCTAAAGATTTATTTATTTGAAAGGCAGAGTTACAGAGAGAGAGAGGGCTAGAGAGAGACTGAGAGAGATCTTCCATGTGCTGGTTCACTTCCCAGATGGCCACAGAGATCAAGTCTGGGCTGATCTGAAGGCAGGAGCCAGGAGCTTCTTCCAGGTCTCCCATGTGGGTGCAGGATCCCAAGCACTTGGGCCATCCTTTGCTGCTTTTCCAGGTGCATTAGCAGGGACTCAAACTGGTGCCCATGTGGGATGTCGGCACCACGTGTGGTGGCTTTACCTGCTACACCACAGCATTGGCCCATGATTTTTTTCTGATATTGGTTCATATACTGCCTCATTATAGCTCATTATGTTGAGGGCATTTTCATTCTTTAATCTTGCAGAGGCAGGTGTTTGACTGGAAATCCACATAAACTGTCTGGGGGAAAATATTGTTAGGACTTAAACAGTCTTGATAGAAAAGACATTTTATCAGCTCATCCTTACAGAGCACTTTCAAGGTAGACCACTGTTCTGCACACAGAGTGTTCTGCAGGGCCACACCAGCCTTTGTGTCAGGTGAGGTATTGTGCTGAATGGTGGTGTGGGAAGTGCTGCCACTTGCTGTCTCTGTGGCTCTAGGCAAGTTCTTGTGGCTCAGTACTGTTACTGTGATGCCTACTGTGTGTAGCCTTGGTTAGGATTACATGACAGATGCATGCAATGCACGTAGTAACAGGACCCTAAATATCTCACTGCTTAATTTCTGGTTGCAGTGGGTAAAGGAAAATAAGGTATTCTTGAGCTAGAAGCTGCAAGACTTAGGTTCTAGTCTCAGTTCTGTCCCTAAAAGGCTGTGCATTGTCACCGAGTCGATTTACCACTGGGCCTCATTCTGACTCCAAAAGCTGTACGCTTCAGTACTGGGTTATGGTCCACAACTGACATCACAAACGACTGAGACATGCCATATTTTTAGTCCATACAAGGCTAAACCCCACATTTTGACTTACTGAAGATTCTCAGGGTGTAATTAGAGAATATCACAGAGTTCTCCGTGGTCATCTGAGCACTGTAAGATCCCACTTCTGCCTCTGTCAGGTTGTTGAGCCACAAAGAATAGGATTGGGTGAAGTTCACTCGTTTTTGCCATGCTGGATTGGTCACCAGGATTCCTGGGCGTCCATTTGGCTGTAGGACGGCAATAGATGCTCCATTGTGAAGCCACGTGATGATCACGACCGACTCTTTTGCCGGAAGCTGTAGAGGCAGAGTTACCGGCTCCCATAGAATCCCGTTCACCACCAATGGGGTTGAGCTGCTTTGTGAAACTACAGTCCCTGTAAAAACAAAAGGCAAAGGCTATAAAACTCCCTGACAGCCACTCCTCCGGGTCCTGCACCATCTCCCCCAGCTCCGCCAGTCTATTAGAGCTCTCTGAAATGGAAGCTCAGAGAGAGGCTGGGGAGAGAAAGGGTTACAAGTATTGAAATGGGGCTGGCGCTGAGGCACAGCAGGTTGAAGCCCTGGCCTGCGGTGCAGGCATCCTTTATGGGCACCAGTTTGAGTCCCGGCTGCTCCACTTCCAATCCGGCTCCCTGCTAACCCACCTGGAAAAGCACTGGAAGATGATGGCCCAAGTCCTTGTATACTGTATATTTACCTTTTTTTGTCTTAAAATTCCACTAGTCAATTTTCTTTTAAAAATATATTCTATGTGGCCGGTGTCATGATGCAGTGGATTAAGCTGCAGCCTGCAATGCTGGCATCCTATATGGATGCCATTTTTATCTTGGCTGCTCCACTTCCAATCTAGCTCCTCACTAAGGTGCCTGGGAAGTCAGAGAAAGATGGCCCAAGTCCTTGGGTCCCTGCCCACCCACATAGGAGACCTGGAAGAAGCTCCTGGCTCCTGGTTTCGGCCTGGCCCAACCCTGGTCATTGTGGCAATTTGGGGAGTGGACCAACGAATGGAAACATCCCCCCACCCCCGCTTTCTGTCTCTACCTCTCTCTGTAACTACCTTTCAAATAAATAAAAATAAATCTTTAAAATAAATAAGAAGTATTGAGATGGCAATTAAACACCCAGTGGCTCCACCTTCAAAAATGTCTGACACTCTTGGTTACGGGGAAGCTGATCCAAGTGACCCTGGCCAGTGCCTGTTTTCACACTGTCTGGTCACTTTTCACATGTGGGGACCCCAGCCTCTTGATTCTTTGGACATTAGGTTATGAAGGATAAAGAACTGCATCCATTCTCTGGCACAGGCTCCAAAAACTGGAACTCTTTGCAGATGAGGTATAATTACAACCTGAAATATACTGACTACCTCCTGTGTGCTCTCATTCACACATAGTAGGCTTATGTGATTTAGAGGACTAATAACAGGAATTTACAGTTTGCAGAGTTCTTCTGATACGTTATTTCATTGGGTGCTGACAAGTTCTGTGAAGGAGGGAGGGTGGATTTTGCTATCTTTATTTATGAATAAAGGAGCTGGCATACAGCAAGGCTAACCAAACTTCCCAGCATTAAACAGCTGAGAATGGAAGAGTCAGGGCTCATGCCCAAACAGCTGACTCCAATTAATTTTGTTCTTTTCATGCTAGGTGATTTTTCTACCACCAGAAAGGTTTAATCTAGTAGCTGATGAGAGAAGACGGATAAATGTAAAAATAATAAATGCAATTTCAAAGTAAGACATAACAGCCACAGTCTTGCCAGCCTATTTCAGAATCATCAACATTCAGGCAAAAATTGTAAAATTACCACAATGATTTTTTTTTAGAAAAATTTATTTATTTGTTTATTTGAAAGTCAGAGTTACACACACATAGAGGGATTGGGCGGGGGAGAGAGATATTTTATATCTGCTGGTTCTTTCCTCAGAAGATCACAACAGCCAGGTCTGGGCCAGGCAAGGAGCAAAACTCCATCTGGGTCTCTCACATGAGTGTCAGGGACCCAAGTACTTGGGCCATCATCCACTGACTTCCCAGGTGCATTAGCAGGGAGCTGGATGGCAAGTGGGGGAGCCAGGACTAGAACCAGCATTCCCATATAGGATGCTGTTGTCCCAAGTGGTGATTTAACTTGCTGGGCCACAATAGTGGCCCCTGTCACAATATTTCTTTAAAAAAAAAAGGATGTTTCCTTAGCATCATTTATGAAATTCTTGATACTTATCACAGCATTTTGCAGTCCTCTATTTCCTCGTTAGTCTAGCTGGCCGTGCCTTCAGTGTCCTTGTATTTCAGCACTGAGCACTGTGTCTGATACACTGTAGGATCTGCAGAGATGTTTGAATGAGTCCATGAATAAATAACCATAAGCATGACCTCAAATTTTTGAAGTTTCTTATTTTGCAGGAGAGGAGCTGAGAAAGTGGATTGGGGTCGAAGGGGCCAGGGAGAGGGTTGTCTCCTGGGATCCTGACAGCTCTTAGGTGAGCTTGCACTTCCTCTTTCTTTCCCCAACAGTCATACAAATTTCAGGCACATGAAGATTGCTATCATCAGTTCCCCTTCTGGACTCCATCTTTCCAGTCAGCATTTAATACCCTGTAATTTGTCATTTTGACCACTATTCTCTCTCAGAATCACATGGGTGAACATCATAAGCAGAATCTTGAGTCAAAAAATCCAAATACAAAGGATACATTGGTATGCTTCCATTTATTTGAAGTTAAAGAACAGGCCATGTAAGCTACACTTAAGAAGTCAGGAGATGGGGCTGGCATGTGGCATAGCGGGTAAAGCCGCCACCTGCAGTGCTGGCATTCCATGTGGGTGCTGGTTCTTGTCCCAGCTGCTCCACTTCCAATCCAGCTCTCTGCTATGACCTCGAAAAACAGTGGAAGATGGCCCAAATTCTTGGGGCCCTGCACCCACATGGGAGACTTGGAAGAAGTTTCTGGCTCCTGGCTTCGGATCAACTCAGCTCTGGCCGTTGCAACCAAATGGGGAGTGAACGAGTGGATGGAAGCTCTCTGCTCTTTCTCTCCCCCTCTCCTTTTCTCTGTGTAACTCTTTCAAATAAATAAATAAGCAAATAAATCTTAAAAAAAGAAGTCAGGAGAGTGGTTACCTTTGAGAAAGAGGGAGTGGTAACAAATGGAGGGAACATAAAGGGGGAATTCTGGGGTGCAGGCAATGTTCTGTTTCTTGACCTGTGTCAGGCTACACAGATTTATGCATTTTATGGTAATATGTTTAGCTGACACTTAGAATCTGTATAGTTTCCTTTTTGTATTCCAGGGAAAAATAATTGAAACAATGACAAGACCAAACCTAAAGAAAATCTTCACAATGGCCTGTTACGACTAAAATGATCTGGTCCCTTTTTTCATGTTGATCTAGTTCTTAGAACTCTCCCCTTGTCCACTTTGCTCTGAACTGCGTGGTTACTCCTTAGACAGGTCAGGGCTTCTGTTGTTGCAGTTTCCACTGCCTGGAATGCACTTCTTCAAGGTGTACATGGAGCTCACTCTTCTGCCCCATCAACTCTTTTATGCAAGTGCTCCCTCTTAGAGAGACCTTCTGCGAACACCTCTACCTCACCCACTCTTGTACATCCAGCAACACTTAGATTTATTTTTCTCTATAGTGCTAAACATTTAGCATACTTCATAATTAACATACTTGGGTTTTTCTTTGCTCTTGTTCTTCTCCACTAAACACAAGTTTTGCAAAGCCAAGGGCTTTTGTCCTTGTGTTACCCTCTGTTACGAATGCTCTTGAACAATGCAGACAGAGTAGGCATCCAGTGAAGATTTGTAGAGTAAGTGGACACGTCTCCATCCCTTCTTTTGGAGGTTTTCTATCTAGGGTATTAAGGTTCAATTCCTCTTAATAAAGAGTCTGGGCATACCATGCAGCCCAAGGACTCAATAGAGTATTAGTCAACTTTTCATTATAACAATAAAATGCCAGAGATGAACTACTCATGAAGAAAAGAGGTTTATTTAGCTCACGGTTTTGGAGGCTGGTCTAAGCAGCATAACACATGCTCTGGGGAAGGCTCCGTAATGGATGATGGAACATGAGCAGAGGAAGGATCACGTGGTGAACTGGGGCAAGAGTGGCTGCACCCAAATTAAAGTGTTTATAACAACCTTCTTTCTTTTTTATTTAATAAATATAAATTTACAAAATACAACTTTAGAATTGTAGCAGCTTCCCCCCCCATAACCTCCCTCCCACCTGCAATCTTCCCATCTCCCACTCCCTCTCCCATCCCATTCTTCATCAAGATTCATTTTCAATTATCTTTATATACAGAAGATCAACTTAGTATATACTAAGAAAAGATTTCAACAGACTGCACCCACACAGACACACAAAGTATAGAGTACTGTTCGAGTAGTAGTTTTACCTTTAATTCGCATAATACAACACATTAAGGACAGAGATCCTACATGGGGAGTAGGTGCACAGTGACTCCCGTTTAAAACAACCTTCTTTCTTTCTTTCTTTCTTTTGACAGGCAGAGTGGACAGTGAGAGAGAGAGAGAGACAGAGGAAAGGTCTTCCTTTTCTGTTGGTTCACCCTCCAATGGCCGCTGCGGTTGGCGCACCGTGCTGATCCAAAGCCAGGAGCCAGGTGCTTATCCTGGTCTCCCATGCAGGTGCAGGGCCCAAGGACTTGGGCCATCTTCCACTGCACTCCCTGGCCACAGCAGAGAGCTGGCCTGGAAGAGGGGCAACTGGGACAGAATCTGGCGCTCCAACTGGGACTAGAACCCGGTGTGCCGGCGCTGCAGGCGGAGGATTAGCCTATTGAGCCGCGGTGCCAGCCACAACCTTCTTTCAAGAGCTGATGAAGACACATGATGACTATCTTCCAAGGGCAGTACACTCAGTGGCCTAAGGACATCTCAATAGGTCTCATCTCCTAAAGGTTGCACCACTTCTTAATAGTGTCACTTTAAAATATGGGACATTCAGCATAGCACACTGGGAACTGCTCTTCCCTTGACTAGTACTCTCCTTAAATTCTCTTAATTTTATAGATTGCAATTATTAACTTATTTAACAACCACTTATATACTTTTGCTCAATTCTATGCTAATGCAATGAGCAAAACCTTAGAAATCATGACATTCAGGCCATAGCTATTAGTCCTCTTTTATGTACCAGTTTCTGGGATGGAGACTGGAATGAAAATATGAATATGGCATTGTTGATTCTCTGAGTTCATCCTTTGGTAGAGGGGCCTGACAGGTAAATGAGTAGTTAGTTATGGTACAGCGGGTTAGGTATTGACCTTGAATAGGACTTGCCTCTGCATTGCCTTTGTACCACTACTGCACCCTGTGCACTCAATCTTGAATACTTCT